CCAAGAGGCCCACAAACTACCCCCAAGAGGCCCCCAAGAGCGCTCGTCGTCGTCGTCGTCGTCGTCGCCATTCGGGGTCGGCGGCACCGGCCGTAAGGCCTTCGCAATATTATAAGGGGTGAGAGATGCATCTGAAATTCCCGAATCGGCCCCGAGTCCAACATTGTCCCGGGGCCGCCCCCTGACTGTTTCCGAACCCTCTCTCTTGGGGCCGTCAGCCGCCGCCTTTGGGGGGCATCCTGGAGCCATCGCGATGTAATATTGCAATCATGGGGCAGAGCCGATTGCCAAACTGCAAGGTGCTTCCTATCTGTGCGGTTTCCCTCAGAAGTTGAAGACCACGCGGCAAGACGGAGCAGGCGAATTCTGATGTAAAATTGCAAAGATGCCTGCATGGCCACCTGGAGGCCATCCTGGGGCATTGGAAAGCCATCGGAAACTAAACATCGCCTAGTCAAAGATCCCTGCACAACCTTCCTTTCTGTTTCTGATTGTCCGGACCATCTCGGCGCTTTTCGGGGTGTCTTGGGGGCATGGCAGAGGCGGGATTTCGGAGGCAATCCTGGGGGGTCGCGCCACCCCGTCCAAACCCCTTAGGAAAGGGCGTTGAGGACGGGTTCAGTGGGGACACGGGTTTGCTCCTTCGAGCCGGGTCTTGCCGCAACGAGCGAGCGAGGATGACGACGGAGGAGCATGGGGTGAGGAGGTGAGGAAGAAGAGGAAAGGAAGGAACAAACAGGGAAGAGGACGATGACGAGGAGGAGAAGGAGGCGAGGAGCAGGGGGGGAACGGAGAGGAGGAATGGAAAGCATGACGCCCTCTAGAGGCGCCATGGGGCCACCTTGAGGCCTTGGAACGCTATAGGGACGAAACGGCAAGAACAATACAACTCTTTACGAAGCCCTCCTTTCGGTTTGTGGAAACATGTGGGATCTTAGATGTACATCGAAGGTGCCTGCGGCGAATCACCTCCGTCCCCTGCCTTCTAGACTCGCCCATGTGGCCGAGCGTTGCGGCAAGAGCTCCGCCAAGCTATTGGACCATGTGTTCCACCAACCGTTGTGGAAACTCTTCGGAGAACACTTGGGGGAGGATGGCGGGGAAGAGCAGGAGGAGGCGGAGGAGGAGAAAGGGGGAGGAGGAGGAGGAGGAGGAGGAGAGAGGAGGAGTAGAGGAGGAGAGGTAGTAGGAGTAGGATGAGGAGGAGGAGGGAGGATGAGGAGGTAGGAGGAGGAGGGGGTCATCTGAAATCCTGAGGGCACACTCTTGGGCCTCCTGGAGCTTCCGAGAGCGTGCAGGAGAGCATCTTGTCTTGGGGGCCTCCTTGGGCCTCTTGGAGGCCTTTGGGGGCTTCTTGGGGGCCTCTTTGGCCGTCTTCGTGGGCTCCTGGCACGTCTGATAACGTCGGAAGCCGTCTTGAGGGACTCTCTGGGCCCTCTTGGGGCCCTCTTGGGGTGCTCCAGGGCCGTCTTGGAGGCCATCTTGGGCGTCTTGGAGGCTCTTGGGCCCTCTTGGGGCCCCCTTAGGGCCGTCTTGGGGGCCTCTTGGGCCGTTCTGAGGACATCCTGGAGGCCTCTTGGGCGATCTTGGGGCGATCTTCTGGGGCTCTTGGGCCGTCTCGGGCCGTCGGTAGGCCGAAAAGAAACTAAATACCAAAGTCACTCAACAACCAACGGAATATCAATGATTTGGGCCTCTTCGGGCCTTCCTGGAGGCCCTCTTGGAGGCCTCTTGGGCCGTGTTGGGCCATCTTAAAGCCATCTTGGGCCGTCTTGGTGGGCGCCTGGCCCGTCTGGCGCCGCGGGAAGTCGTGTTGGGGGCCTCTCTGGGCCCTCTTGGGGCCCTCTTGGAATGCTCCAGGGCCGTCTTGGAAGCTCTATTGGGTGTGTTAGAAGCCTCTTGGGCAGTCTTTGGGCCCTCTTGGGGCCGTCTTGGGGGCCTCTCTTGGGCGATCTTTAGGGCTCTTGGGCCGTCTCGGGCAGTCGGTAGGCCGAAAAGAAATAAATGCCAAAGTCTTTCAAACACCGACGGATGATCAATGATTTGGGCCTCTTCGGGCCCTCCTGGAGGCCCTCTTGGAGGCCTCTTGGGCCGCACTGGGCCACCTTAGAGCCATCTTGGGCCGTCTTGGTGGGCGCCTGGCCCGTCTGACGCCGTCGGAAGCCGTGTTGGGGGCCTCTTTGGGCCGACTTGGGGCCCTCTTGGAATGCGTCAGGGCCGTCGTGGAAGCTCTATTGGGTGTGTTAGAAGCCTCTTGGGCCGTCTTTGGGCCCTCTTGGGGCCGTCTTGGGGGCCTCTCTTGGGCGATCTTTAGGGCTCTTGGGCCGTCTCGGGCAGTCGGTAGGCCGAAAAGAAATAAATGCCAAAGTCCTTCAAACACCGACGGATGATCAATGATTTGGGCCTCTTCGGGCCCTCCTGGAGGCCCTCTTGGAGGCCTCTTGGGCCGCACTGGGCCACCTTAGAGCCATCTTGGGCCGTCTTGGTGGGCTCCTGGCCCGTCTGACGCCGTCGGAAGCCGTATTGGGGGCCTCTTTGGGCCGACTTGGGGCCCTCTTGGAATGCGTCAGGGCCGTCGTGGAAGCTTCCTGGGGCGTCTTAGAAGCCTCTTGGGCCGTCTTTGGGCCCTCTTGGGGCCGTCATGGGGGCCCCTCTGGCAGTCCTGAGGCCATCTTGGAAGCCTCTTGGGCGTTCTGGGGGCGATCTTTGGGGCCTCTTAGGCCGTCTTGAGCCGTCGGAAGGCTGAGAAAAAGCAAATACGCAAATCCTTGAAACCTATGGGAAATCAATGATATGGGCCTCTTCGGCCCTGCTTGGCAGGCCGTCTTGGAGGCCTCTGGGGTCTTGGGCAGTCTTGGGCCGTTTTGGAAGCTTCTTGGGCAGACTTGGAAGCATCTTGGACCCTCTTGGGCCGTCTTGGGGGACATTCTGGACCACCGTAGGCGGACTTGGAGGCCATCTTGGGCAATCTTGGCCGTCTTGGAGGCATCTTGGAATCCATTCGGGGCCATTTGGAGCGTGAAAGGCATTGACATGCGCAATTTGCGGTCCGGAGCCCCAAAGGGAGTTCTTGTGGAAAAAAACCAAAGGAAAAACGGTAGCGTCTAGCACGCCAGGCCCCCGTGACAAGCACAGGGGTCGGCGGATTTGATGGCCTTCGGCCCATCCCGTCACCGTCCCTGGGTTGTAGGCCATAAGCGGCTAGGGTGTTCGTTGGGATGTCGCGGGGGGCTTCTCATTCGTTGGGATGTCGTGGGGGGCTTCTCGGGGGCCTCGAACTCGCAGTTTTGACATCTGTTGGGGGCCTTTCGGGGGCCTCTTGGAACGTGCTGGGGGCCCTCTGAGGGCCTCTTGGGGCCTGTTGGGGGCTTCTCGGGGCCTCCCGGGGGCATCTGAGGACGGAAGGCTCGAATTGTCGGCTCGGTCACTGTCGAAATGTCGGTCGGAATTGTCTCGGGGCCTCCTGGGGGCATCTTGGGACGTGAAGCTCGACAAGTCGAGAAGCCCACGCATGTTGAAAATACTGAGCCCAAGAGGAATCAAAAGGATCGCTGGCTCTCGGGATCCTCTCGGGCAGGCTCTCGGAGCTGCCCTGGGGCGCATGTTAGGCCATCTTGGAACCGCCTTGGTCTTGGGCCGGTCGAGTTGCGATTCGAAGCGCCCGTGGGCCCTCTGGGCGGGCTCTTGGAGGTTGCTTGGCCCGTCTTGGGCCCCTCCTGGCCCCGAGACAAGAATCGCGCGCCGCCGCTCGGAGCCCAGGGGGCGCGCGCCAAGTCCAAGGAGGTTTGAGAGTTTTGGGTGGGCCGCTTTGAAGACTCGTCAAGAGGGAGGGCGGATGCTCAAGGAATCGAGCAAGGACACTCCAACTCGCGTTAGGTCCGGCACGTCCTCCCACAGGGGGGTTTTGGACGAAAACAACAAATAATAAAGCAATGCCGCGCATGGCCAGCGCAAATGAATCTCGGAGCTCCACCGCGCCAGGGGGCATGACTGCGCGAAGCGCCCTGCATCAAACTTTTGCTGCGAGTGCTGCTTCGCCCAGTGGCCAAGAGAACGAGCGAGCGGGCCAGCTGGCGGCGAGAGCCGCGCTGGTGGGATCGCGAGGGCACAGAAGCAAGACCTCGACCCCATCTGAAGGGAAGAGGTTGCACAGGAAAGGTGGCAGTGCGGGGGCGGCTGGTGGGCACCTCGAAACTTGAGCCCGAACAGGCAGCGGCGCTCTCCCGCTGCGCCCCCCGCTCGCTAGATCATTCACGTGCAAGCAGAAACCGTGAACCTCGGAGCTCCACCGCGCCAAAGGACATGACTGCGCGAAGCGCCCTGCATCAAACTTTTGCTGCGGGTGCCGTTTCGCCCCGTGATCAAGAGCGGGCCAGCTGGCGGCGAGAGCCGCGCTTGTGGGATCGCGAGGGCGCAGATACAAGACCTCCACCCCCCTTGAGGGACAGAGGTCGCACAGGAGAGGTGGCAGTACTGGGGCGGCTGGTGGGCGCCTCGAAACTTGAGCCCGAACGAGCAGCGGCGCTCTCCCACTCGCTAGACCATTCATGTGCAGGCACTAATCCTGAACCTCGTCCACCGCGCCAAGGGACACGACTGCGCGAAGCACCCTGAATCAAACTTTCGCTGCAGCTTCAGCCAGCGATCAAGAGAACGAGCGGGCGGGCCAGCTGGCGGCGAGAGCCGCGCCGGTGCGATCGCGAGGGCGCAGATGCAAGACCTCGATCCCTACCCATTCGCCAGAAGTGTCCTGGCCTTGGCCACGACAAGACGCGCCAGAGTCTGACAGATCTCCACGGGATAAGGGCGCGCTCTCGCGGTCCAAAAAACACCGTTTGGGTGTTTTCCCTATGAAGCAATGTGTCGCGTACCAGTCGCATGCATCTAGCTTGGCTGCTTTCGCATCGTCTGTGCTGCGAATGCACTGGCGGCCACTTGAAAAGGAGAAATGCCGTCGCCTTACGCCGCGGCACCTGATGCTGACAGAAATCCACATGCGCTCACTCTTCCTTGGCATGGCTCGCTATCGAGCGGAGTCCGGCATCGCAGCGGCTCGCGCTGGGCAGTCCCCAGATGTCCCCATCACTTCTCAGCGGCGGCGGGCCTCGACCATCCAGCTTTCTGGCTCTCGACCGCGTCTTGCAGTCCAGGCCGACATGGGCGCCCATGATGGCCCCGCTCTGGACGCGGCTCAGAAGCGTGTCGATGATGTCTGGGCTCCGAAGGTCCGCGCCGCAGCCGTCGGCGATGTCCCAGCCCTGCGAAGCCTACCCAGCGGTGGCGACAGCTCGGGCCAGGCGCGCGGAGCCGTGCATGAGCTCGGCGCCACTGCGTTACGGCCCCGCGCCCGAAGATCCGCCGCGGCGGCTCGCCGTCGTCGCCGCTTGCCGCGGACCTCGGCGCGCCGCCTGTAGCCCCCGCGAGGGCCTCTCTCCCTGGCGGGTCGACCCCGGCGCCGTCTCCGGCACCTTGTGGAGCCTGTCGGGCGCCGCGTCGGCCTGCTCGCGGGTGGCGGCGTCCAGCTCGGCGAGCTCCTGCTGCAGCAGCGCGTGCGCCTCGTGCCGCTTCATGCTGTAGTCCGAGGCCCAGCGCCCGCGGCCCTTGATCTCGGCGAGAGACCAGTGCCGGCACAGGCGGTCGTGCGACGGGCCGCCGCGTCTGAGCTGGTAGGGGGCGCAGCGCCGCCCCGGGCGCACGAGCTGCAGCGCGCGCCGCCAGGGCCGCCCAAGCTCCTGGGCGTTCGAGCCGAAGGGCAGCATCGTCGGGGCGGCGGTGCGGCACCTCGCCGCCAGCGGGCCCAGCCACGGGACCTCCACCGAGTCCAGGAGGATGCTCTCGTCCGCGAGGCCCCCTCGGACCGAGGGGCGCAGGTTGGAACCGCAGTGCTTGCGCGAGCCGCTGGGGGGAAGACGTCCTGCTCTTGGTGGCCGAGGGCCTCGCTTGGCCTGAAGTAGGCCCAGAACATCACCACTATCATGATCGCCACCTCCGGGGCCGCGAGGTCGAGATCGCGCTGGCCAGCAGCGCTGTGACCTGCCAGGGGATTGGCGGCCGCGTCTGCCCTGGATCGAGTCGCTCCCAGCCCTGGGGCGCCCTCGAAAATCGAGGCAAGCGGAGCGACCCCTTTCGGGGGATGTCTGGGCGCTCCGAGATTAACGCGGCATAGGTCTTCAGCAGAACGGCCCTCTCGAGGCCTGTGCCCCAGGCGAAGTCGGCGCAGTTCGTCAGCGCCAAGTCGGCGTCCGCGGCGGTCGCGAGCGGGAGGCTGCGAGCAGCCGCGGAACTCTGGAACTCCGCCAGGGCCTCTTGGTAGTTGCGCTGGGTCTGCGGGGCCACCGCGTTCCACTCCAGGAAGCCTCTCTCGTCGGGCCCCAGCAAGTGGCAAGGGCCTGAGGTCTCCTGACGCCTCGCGCTCCTCTCCGCCCTGGAGGCGCCGATGAAGGGGCGGCACTCTAGGAAGTCCTTCCTCGCCAAGCTGCGGCCAACTGCCGGCCTCTTCCGCGCTGCCGGGCCGAGGCGGCTTACGGCTCGACCTCGGCCCCCAGCGGCGCGAACCCCCATCGGCCGCGTTGAGCTCTGAGGGGATCCAACGGTGCTCGGGCTTCGAACCACTGTCAACGGATAGAGCGGCCTCGCGACGGCAACATATTAGAGGCGCATAAGCGGCGCACTTTCCAAGTCCCAAAACCAGCGCAGTCCAACAATTACCACCCAGCTTGAGAGGGCGCATCCCCCCAAAAATGTCCGATTCCTCAAAGTGCGCCTGGGGGTCATGTTGGCGGCCCTCCCCATCGGCAATAGCGACGGGCTCCATGGCGTGAGCCCTGGCCGAGGCAACCTGCTTCCATGCGCCGCCCCGTGGAGCCTCAAGAGGGGCCTCGTTGAAGCCGCGGTTGGGCTCCCAGGGGCCCCACAGGTGGTCCCCGTCGGAGATCCTCGGGGCCTTCGTGGTGGAGGTGTCCTTGAATGCGTCCAACTGGGGCTCCTCGTCAGCATGGTGGAGACCTCCTGGACCCAAAGCGGACTGACGTGCTGGAATCGCCGAAGACGTCCGACATCTCCATCCCTCACTGACTGGTCCAACATTCTTGACAGGCGAAAGCGGAAGGACTGTTTCGCGAGCGGCCACCCCTGTGAGACAGGCGTCGCACGCTGTGACCACGGGGCCCCACGGCAGCCTGAAGTCGGCCGCCACGAGCGGAAGCAGGCGGCGGAACTGCAAGACTTCGCATTCAGCTGACGGCCGGAGACGGGCGCGCCTGCTGTAAGTCTCTTACGAAATCGTACAAGATTCTGAGAATACATAACATATCCCTCCTCCACATGATGTGATCTATCATATGTCCAATGAACCGTCCCACCTCCCTCCCAGCGACTCGCGGCCGCTGCTCCAGCCAGAGCGAGGCCTGACTTGGGCGCTCGGTGCGCTCGGCCAAGGCTGGTGGCGGTCTGTAGCCTCCACCTCCTCATGAATGAGAACTCCATGACGCTTCCGCTGGG